GGGTCTCCCTCCATGGGGGTCTCCCTCCCTGCGGGTCTCCCTCCATGGGGGTCTCCCTCCATGTGGGTCTCCCTCCCTGTGGGTCGCCCTCCCTGCGGGGTCTCCCTCCCTGCGGATCTCCCTCCCTGTGGGTCTCCCTCCCTGCGGGTCTCCCTCCATGGGGGTCTCCCTCCATGGGGGTCTCCCTCCCTGCGGGTCTCCCTCCATGGGGGTCTCCCTCCCTGCGGGTCTCCCTCCATGCGGGTCTCCCTCCCTGTGGGTCTCCCTCCCTGTGGGTCTCCCTCCATGCGGGTCTCGAGGGAAAATCAAAGTTCGAAGGCGTGTCTGAGAGCCCAGGGCAGAAACTTCACTTCTGTGGTTGGACAAGGAGAGGAACTTTCTGCCTGGCTCAGCTGGCGCCGACCTCGGGAAACACCCCCACCATAGCAGGTGCTTTATAGGAAGTCATACCACCCCGTGTGCCTCCTGGCCCCCGACCCTCACCAAATGCGGCTCCACAACCGACCCCCACACGCCTCAGCAGGAACCATTGGGGGTTCGAACTCCCCCTCAAAAAAAAAAAACCCAAAACTCACAGTGATCCCAGAAAGGGTTCGAGAGAGCCACTTTATTTTGTGCAATATTGGGGGATGTCGGTCTTTGGGGACCCAACCCCGCTGGTGGGCGGGGTCGCACTAAACATAGGTGGAGTTGTCATTTGGCTCACTGCTGACATCCCTGGCCGGGCCTGGGTCGGTGTCCTCGTCAGCGCTGCCCTCGCTGCCTGAGTCTTCCGCGTCGTCCATGGTGGGCACGTTGAGGACCACCACGTCTGCCTCAGCTCCGATGTCTTCGCCAAACCACACGGCCTTGTAGCCCCCCTCAGGCCGCCGCTCCTTGGTCAGGATGGATCTCACGGCGGCGGGACTGTCCTCTGCCCGGGCAGTCGTGGGGAGCGTGGGGCTGGGGAGCGCGCGGGGCTCCGGCTCCGGCTCGGGCTGGGGTTCAGGGCTGGGGGGCTGAGCTTTGGCCGGAATGGGGCTGGGGGCGGGGCTGGGGGCGGGTTCCCAGTTGACTTTGCCCTCGTCTGTTTCAAAGGACTGGTTGTCAAAGTCTCCAGAGAGGGGTTCCTGCAAGGTGAGGTCAAGGAGCGTCCACAGGCTGAGCCGGGCCCTCCTTGCCCCTCTCCCTACTTGGCTCCATCTTTCTGATTCTGGTGCTTACATCCCAACTCTCTTCCCCCCATCTCTCCACTTCTCCCCCATTCTTCACCTACAGTTTCATCTGCCCCCCTCTTTTCTGGGTCCCCTTCCTGGCTCTCCATCCTCTCATCTCCCCAGCTTCCCCATCTCTGCCTGTCTCTCTCTCATCTCTCCAAGTGGCCCCTGCTAGGCGCCTCTCACCTGCGATTTGCCAGAGGAGCATTTGAATCTGTGTCTGTGGTGCTTGTAGATGAGCAGTCCCAGGACCAGCAGGGCCAGAAGCAGGAGTCCACCCAGCACGCCGCCCAGCACAGCCATCTCTGCCACTGAGAAGAGCTGGTCCTCAGAGTGGCCACCGCCTACCTGGCTGCCTCCCCCGCTCCCAGGTGGCTCTGCTGACAACACAGGCACACACATCATTAGAACCCCCCAAATCACCGAGGCTTCTGGGCTGCTGGTCAGGGTAGCAGGCAGGCACTAGGGATCCCCCACTTCCAGGTCTATAAGTTCACAATGAGATCCTGTGGTGCCCAGGGTGTTTAGTGACCATCAGCCCCAGGTGGGATGTAGAGGCCCAAATACAACAGGAAGGGTCGTTTGGGGTGCATTGGGGACCAGTGGAGTGGCTGGCCTGCCCAACCCTCCACACGATGTCCTTCTTGGGACCAGGCTAGAGCCCCACCTGCAGTCCTGCCCAGTGCCCAGCGCAGGCCAGGAGCGTCAGCCTGCCTTACTTTAGAGTAAATGGAGATTGGGCGGCTACCTGAGGACCCCGTAGTCCTGGCGGACCCTGAGGGTGTCATCTGAGAGGGTCCTAGCGATGTGGTTGGTGCTGAGCTCCTGGTGCTGGGCATAGCTGGTGTTGGGGAGGTACTGGCTCCCACACTGGGGGGGCTCCCAGACGTGGTCAAGACAGGTGGTCTCAAAGTTGTACCCGAAGGTGGGTGTGGACCAGTGGTCCCACCAGAGGTAGTTGTGGAGGGTGTCTGAGAGGGCCCAGGGGGCCTGGTGGACCCGGGGGGCCTGATGGAGCCCGGGGATGTTGACCGAGACGGTCCTAGCATTGTGGTTGTTGGTGAGCCCCCGATGCTGGGTATGGCTGGTGAGGGAGACATGCTGGTTCCCACACTGGGGGTCCCCCCTGGTGTGGGCGAGGCAGGTGGCCTCAAAGTCGTACCCGAGGGTGGGAATGGGCCAGTGCCGCCCCCAGAGGTGGACGTGGAGGGTCCCTGAGAGGATCCCGGGGGCCTGAGGCCTTCGGAGGTGACAATGCTTGAGGGTCCCGTTGTTACTCCAGCCTCTGAGGGGGTCGGGGAGCCTGGGGACCCAGTACAGGGTTTGGGCTTGTCTCAACCCCCAGATTCCTGTCCCCTGGGCAGGACCCACACTGAGCCTTCACCTGGGGGCTCACCTGTGGGGATGAACTGTTCTCGAACTTGAATCTCCACCACCGTGGTTGCCGTGGCAAGCGTCACTGTGTTATTAGCTTCAACCTAGGTGAGCAGGCAGGTTGGCTCTCCTTACCCCCTTTCGTGTCCCCCCAGTCACTTTTGGCCAGCTCCACCTGCCCCTCACCTCTACGTAGATGACTCCCACATTCTTCAGTATGACCGTGGTCACCACAGTCTCCCCCTCCATCCGAAAGTCGGAGTGGTTGGTGATATTGTATGTGATGGCCGAGTTGAGGTTCTGGGTACAGAGAGTTAAGGGAGTTTCGGAACCGGGAGCCATCAAGGTCCCGGCTGCCCCAACAACACATACACACACACGCACACATACACACAAGCACGCACGCACACACGCACACGCAGGCCTTGGGGGTCCAGGCCAGAGCACCAGCCCCTGCGTACCGGGAAATCGGGGTCCTTAGCTTGGAGTCTCAGAGCCTGAGAAGGGTTGGCTGCATCCCTGACGACCGCACCAGCGTTCAGGTTCGGGGCCACGGTGCCGCGGTACAGGCTCTGGGGGAAGCTCGGCTGGCCTCCAGCAGCCCCCTGGGCCTCCACAGAAACCTGGGTCACTGAGTACTTGGTTAAGTCAGCCTGCTCACCCTGGGGAGTGGGAAGGAACCAGGCTGAGCAGCCTGAACTCCCTCATGTGTGCACGTGGTGTGTGCGCGTGTGTGTGCATGTGTATCTGTGTGCATATGTGTGTGCACATCCTGTGTGTGCGTGTCATGTGTGTCTCCGTATGTGTGCATGTGTGCGCGCGCAGTGCGTCTGCGTGCACATGGTGTGTGTGCGCATGTGTCTGTGTGCGTGGTGTGTGTGCGCACGGTGTGTGTGCATGTGTGTGTGTGTGTGTGTGATGTGGAGGCCTGGCCAGACCCCCTCCCACAGCCCCATGTTGGCACCCACCTTGACCACCAGCTTGAAGGTCATAGGTCTGGAGATGCCTTTGGTCATGGTGAGGTTGCCCGAGGACTCATTAATGGAGAACACACCATCCTGATTTCCTGTAGGGAGGTCAGTTCTCTGCCCTGGTCCAGAGACTCTCGGGGCTCCCTCTGCCTGCAGTGGCCCCAGAATGAGTCTGGCTGCTGCGTGGGAGTTGGGGCCAGACTGGGAGCCCACCTACCATTTATGATGCTGTATATAATAGGCTGGTTGATGGCGCGGTCCCCGTCCACAGCATAGATAGGTCCCGGATGCAGGATGAGGGGACTTGGCTGTAGGGAGGGTGGGAAGGGGACAGCATGGGCTGGTGCCAGTGACCCAGCACGGCCCTCTCCTGCCCCTCCAGGCACTCTGAAACGGGACGGGGGCAGTGTCCTGGCACGCTGACCGGTAGACCCTTTCTGGTCCCTCCGGAGGAGGGCTCCAACACCAGTCTGCACTAATGCACACACACTTCTATGCTGAGGCCTTCCTTCCACCTCTCCCAGGCTCCCCACTTGCCCCTTACAGGGGCCTCAATACAGGGGTCATCTGCACAGGGGTGAGGGGCTGAGTTGCCCCTTAAGGAAACCAACATGGTCCCCCCAATTCCCCCAATGCCTCAGCCAGGGACAGCCACCTTGTCCCAACTGGGATTCCCGATTGCTGCCCGCAGTCCACGGAGCCAAGTCAACGTTGGTTAGACAGTTACAACCTGTCGTTTAGGCTACCCCGGCCGACCGTGTCCCCATTACCAGTCTGTGTCCTGTCGGGACAGCTCCCTGGTACTGAGCTTGGACGCAGACATAATTGTCTGAGTAGGAGCAGGGTAGGAACCAGGGGGGACGCAGGTCAGCTGGCAGGACATTGATGATCAGTGTGGCTGTAGCTGTGTAACTGGGCTCCACATTCTCTGCCTGCGTGTCCTGTAAACCCCAAATCACGTCAGGGCTGGGGTCTGGGACCGCTGGGAGGCATGTCCAATGGGCGGCTGAGTGTCTGGGGCTTGGGGTTGGAGGGTGACCTGCTCACCCGCACAACCAGATGGAAGGTCATCTTTTGACACTTGTCGAATTCTAGCTGCTTGTCCAGTCTCAGGGCAGGGTTGTTTATGCCCACCAGGGAAAAGAAACCGGTGGTACCCTAGGGACAGGAAGCACAGTCAGACCCTGGAGGGAGGCAGAGAGGCTGGGCCACAGACGTCAGGGCCAGTGTTGGGCAGGGATTAGGGGGCACGGACTGGGGTGACTTCCTGGAGGGTGTAGAACAAGGTGTCAATTTTGTCAAGGTCCTCAGCCTTCAGTTCTGTCTCTGGAATCACAATGGAGTTCACCTTGGTGTCCTGGGGACAACGGAGAAGGTTTATTCCTGCCACATTCATGCCCTCATGATTCAAACCCCGTGGTCACGCCCCAGCCCCCACCAGGACTCAAACCCCTCTCATACTCAGTGCACTCGGCATCCAACCCTGGTGCAAACTCACCTCGCTCACATTGACATCTTTGATATTGAAGCCAAAGTTAGGCGGGTTGTCATTGATGTCGTCCACCGTCACGAACACCCTCAACTGGGTCACCTGGGGACGGCAAGGAGGGGACTCGGGAATTTCCCCATGGATGCCCACCCCAGACATGGAAGTGTGCTCAAGGGCCCCTGCTCATCCCTCCTTCCCTCTCTCTACCCATCCATCCACTCAACAACTGTTGGCTGGGGGGCAGGGATACCAGTCAAAGAGCCCCAGGCCCCCCGCCCCCCTCCCTGCCTCCATTCTAGTGTTTGTGCTGGGATTCGAAGGTAGTTCGGGAAAGTTCAGTAGAAGGTGTCAGAGCTGGGAGAAGAATAAAAATGAGGCAACAACTGAGTTGCTTCAAAAAGACATTTCAAAGCTAAGAAAGGGAACCTGTGAATTCCAAGAGAGCCCAGCCAGCCAGTGGTGGTAGAGGGTCCTTGTTTAGACCCCATCCAGTCAGAAACCCGTGTAAAGGGGTCTTTCAGGGCAGCACAGGTGGGCTGTCCTGAGATGTGCTTGTGGTTTCAGGATTCTGTTGTAGCAATACAGTGAAATGTTTGTGGTCTGGAAGGGGGTGAGTGGGCTCCCAGGAAACAGCAGGGCTCTGAGGAGGGGCTCACTGAGGGTGCAGGCTCAGGGAACTGTGTTTTCCATTTTGTGTGTGTGTGATTTTCCTTCATCAAAGATTACAAAGATTAAAGCAGGGTCAGAAGTCTAGGGTGTGTGGGGCGGTAAGAGGTCACAAACTCGGGTGGTGTGGGGTGTTCGGTGGTGACAGGGACTGAGGGATGATGACAATTATGTTGGTGGGGTGGAAGCAGAGAGGGGAAGTGAAGGAAACCTAGGACTGCTGGGCATTTGAGGGTGGGTGGAAGGTGCCAATGCGGCCCTGGTGGGTATATGCGGTTCCTGAGGGGTCATGTCAGTGATGACCAGACTGGAACAGAGCCTGGAGTCCCGGGGCCAGCACAGAATGGCATTGAAAACATGTCACTGGGTAAGGTCACCTGGGAGAGGGACAGGGAGGGAGATACTCACCACTGTGTCCCCCCGCCTACAGTCCAGGAGCACCTGCATCAAGGACCCCACCTGTGGACACAGGTGCCCAAAGCCATGGTGCCCATCTCACAAGTGGGGAGACAAAGCCCAACCACAGGGCATCTAGGACCCAGGGAGCTTCTACCCCAAGTGGTTCCCACGCCTGTAGGACCCCCACCCACCCCTGGACAGTATTCCCTGAGGAGGGGGTGGTGCCAACACAGGTTACAGAGGGTCAGCCCCTCCACTGCCCCCACCCATGGAATGCCACCTCCCAGGTCTGCACCTCGTAGTCAGGAATTATTTTAAGAAATAGCTGGTTGTTTCGGATCTCAAAGGCAGAATCCGGGGTCGAGGACGCGATAGTCACTTGCTGGCCATCGGGGACAGTGATGTTCACCAGTGGTTCAGTGTAAGTTGTATTCTCCTTAATGTTAACGATGCCGTTGTCCACAGAGCAGGCTGGGTAGTGAATGGGTGGGTATGTGAGTGAGCTCCCAGCGGTGACCCCCAGCACCCAACCTCTATTCCCCCAGCCCCTGCCCTCTTTCTGCCCCTGCGCCTTTGTAACTCCTAGCCTGCCACCTCTGCTGGCCCTGCCCACCTACCTTGGGCCTGGACCTCTAGAACTTGACCCTGCAGTCCCAAGAGCAACAGCAGCAGCAGCGGGGGTGGCCGCAGCAGGACCCCCACTCCCATCCTGGCGGCCGCAGCCTCCTCCCAGACTCAGGCCGTGGGGACCCTAAGAACAGCCAGCCGGCAGGGTGCAGTTCCTGCCTTGTGAACTTCGCCCCTGCCAGGCACCGCCTCACTTTATGATTCTTTACGACAGGCCTCCACCAAGGGGTTCCTGCCAGCCAGCCGGCTCATCACCAGAAGAAAGACACCAGGGGGCATTGTCCCTAACTGGGGCTCCGAATGTCTTCCCACGGGGGATAGGAGGGGTGCTGGACAAGGGTGGAGCAGGGTCAGGACAGGGGGCTCCTGGGGAGGAGATGGGACAGACTTGAGGACCAGGTGGGTGGTTTGCTGGGCAGGTGCAGACGCTGATCTCTAAGTTGGTCAGTTCCCCTTCCACCTTCTTCCATTTCACGTTTCACTCCAGGCCACATTCCCTGCTCATGTCTTCCTCATTTCCTCTAAGCTCCTCGGGGCAAAGTTCTCAAGACAAGCCTCCTTCCGGCAGGTGGAAAGAAACACAACTCTTTTGCATGTCCCTGGCACGCCCCTGCCTGCCCTGCGCACAAGTCAATGTCCTCCCAAGTGGGGCTGGCCAGGGTCCAGTGGAGATGGAAATGTTAACAGTGGCAACTGGGGCAGAGTTATCGATTGAACTGTGACCTTCTCCCACCCAAATGTGCTTTGTAACTTCTATCCTCAGTGGGTTGTCTCAGCTCTGTTAAGGAGACAGGATTAGTGTAGACAGTATCTTAAGTCAATCTCTTTTGAGACATTGTTAAGTGCTTTTGAGGCAGTTCCAACTAGTAACAACCCTGTATCAGGTTTCCAAGGAGAAGCTAGTAGATTTGAACTGCCGACCTTGTGGGTCACAGTCCAGTGCTGATCCTACAGTGCCACAAGAGACGAAACAAGCAAGCGAACATGCCATGACGCCAAGTCACATGACAAGCAATCGATTTCCCAGGAGCGGAAGCTCAGAAGAGCCCAAAGCCAACAGAAAGAGAGCTCCCCCCTCAAGATAACAGCACCTGAATGCTATATTCTAGCCCCTGAACCGTGAGAAAGCAAATTCTGTTCATGAACATCCCCCACATGTGTTTGTTACAAGCAGCACTAGAAGACGAAGACAGAGGGATCACAATGAGGTCCCAGCCCAGACTCCCCTGTCCCCACTGTGGGGGTCACTGTCACCGCACCCCTCCTGCCCCACATCTATCTCTCCTTGGCCTCCCTTGACCCCCAACCATCCAGCCCAAGGCTGGCGGGTCTAGAGAGAAGAGGGGCTGTTGTAATGAGAACATGGGACCTTATACCTCATCTCTGCAGCCACAAACACCCCTTCCACCCCCCACCCTCAGCCTGCACCTATCTGGTGCCCACACTGTTATCTGAGGCAGACTCTGTGTGGCCCAACTGCAAGACCACACAGTCCAGTCACGTTAGGGCCCAGATATTCCTCAAGTCTTCTCTGGAGCCTGGCTCGGGTCCTCCAGGGTCTGTGGCTGTTCCCCAATTCCTGCCCTTGGGCTGCATACACTGACCACATGCCCCGGGGGGGAATGTTAGCTGAGTGGGTGGACCCAGTGCAGTGGGAGGGCCCCTGGGAGCTGGCATGATGGACAGAAGGTGGCACTGAAGTGGACACAGAAGGAGGAGGAACAAGGTAGACTTCTCTAGATGAGGTTTACAAGGGCCCACCTGGGAACCTGCCTTCCATCCCACAGCCTCAGTGGTTCAAGATGGCGCACACAGTGGACTCACGGACCACCACCTGAATTCCTTTTATTGACGCCAAGTCCAACCCCTCCCCAGCCCGCCTACCCGTTCCATCCCACCCCCACAGGTCCAGGACTGTGGACATGTGCCTCCTTCTAAGTATTCATTTAGGACGAACGGGACCGTTAGCTGCCAAGGTGTCCAACTCCAAGACCCTGACGGCCAGACCTGGTCGGATTCAGGGGGGTCCTCAGCGGAACCCTAAAGAGAGGAGCCAGTGAGTACGTGACTGGAGACCCCCAGCTTCATACCCCCTCACTGACAAATACATTGCCAGCTTGGGGCTGCTGAGGAAGGAGGGAAGGAGGAAGGAGGGTCCTGGAGCTGAGGGCTGGGGCCAGGGCAGCGCTCACCAGGTCTGCAGGGAGGGTGCGTCGGACCACAGCAGGCAGAGCCGGTCCCCCTCGATCCTCTGGCCACTGGCTGTACTGTTCTCCGGATCCTGCTCACTGACACCCCCCAACCAGAATTAACCCTTGAGTTAGGGGACTAGGACACTGATGTTGTGGGTGTCCCTCCGCCTTCCTAGATCTGGGTGCCACCACCCCGATTCTGGGGTGCCCCGTCCCCTCCGCCCTCACCTGCGTTTTCCCACCAGCCCCTGGAGCAGTCGCTGCAGCCGCGCGCTGTCTCGAAGACGGCTCAACTCGCTCGTGAATGTCCCGTCCGAGTGTCTCGTGGCCCTGGGGGACGCAGAGCCAGTCAGGGCCACTAGGAGGTCCCCAGGGACCGGACAGCTCCGCCTGGGAGGGGCACGGACTCACCTGGGGGGCGCGGGGCGCGCTGCGGGGCCTCGGAACAGCTGCAGTAGGAGCAGGAGCGCGGCGAGCGCGGGAAAGGCCATGGTGGGCGCTCGGGAGGTGCTGACCGCTCACAACCGCGTTCGGAGCCCCGCGCGGCCCCTTTATAGGCCCAAGGACCGGGCGCGAGCTGGGGTGGCCCACAGAAGCTTCCGCCTAGGCTCCAGGCTGCCGGGGGCCCCATTGATTACGTTAGAAGGTCAAGGCCACCCCCCCAGCTGTCACCTGGCGGCTGCCTGTCCCCTCCGCCGCCACATCGGCGCCCCTCGGCCCGGACTGGCGGCGGGCAAGGGGCGCCTCCACCCGTGGGGTCGGGAGAGGAGGAGGGATACCCGGCTGCTAGAACCGCACCCACCAAGTCTCGGTGCCACGACCCAAGCTAAGAAGGTGCGAGCAGAGCCCGGGGCTCCTGGTGGACCCAGAGGGGAGAGGTGGGCAGCTGAAGGCGCCCAGGGGCTCCAGCTGGAGGATGGGCGCTACCGGAGGAAGGGATGGGAAGGCAGGGACCCAGAGAATTCGCTGCCCAACGCAGGCCAGGGACTGGGGATTGAGCGCAGGGGGAGAGATGCTCGACGGCAGGCCCGAGGCCCAGCGGATCTAGGATTAAGACCACTCTCTGGCTTGTCACTTTATTGCCCAAGTGGGAGAAACTTGAATCTCTTGCAGGTAGTGGCTACAGGGGTGGGGGCTGGGGGGCTGGGCGCTGAGTCATTTAATCAGCCTGTAAATTAGACCTCAACGGCTTGTTCTCAGAAAGTTCTTCAATACAATTTACAAATCCGGGGAACTCGGACATAATAAAACTAAAGGCTCTTAGGTTTCTGTGGCTAAATGCTGACGAGTGGGTTCCGACCCTGTGTAGGGTTTCCAAGGAGCGGCTGTTGAGACGCTGAGGTTCAAGTCGACGTTGCAGTCCAGGGCCAGGGCCTGTATCCTTAGAATCCCCAAAACTCTCATTAATTATTGGTGGAATAATTAATTACCTTTGCCTTCAAAGGAGACATTCCAAATGCCAATTGTATCTGCTTTGGCAGCACTTCAAATCTTAAGTAACCAGGCAGATTGTGATAAGAAATATATTACCTTCTTTTTTTTTTTCCCTTCCAGTTAGCATGCATTAAAATGGACTTTTGGAGGGGTGTATTTTACGGCGTAGGATTTTTTTCTTTCTTTCTATTGCGAATTGAGTAAAGGTTTACGGAGCAGAGCATCCGTTTTATAGTCTACAAATCATACACTTGGTTTCACTTCAATAATGACAGTCCCCTTCATGGAACATCGCTGGGCTCACTTCCTTCCTGCGGTCCTCTTTCTATTCCACTCTCTTGCCTTCTGAATTTGGTCTTAGTAAAAGCTGCCCGTTTGATCCTGAACGGTTAAGTGTTCCGTGGCTGCTTGACTGAAAATCCAGCCATGAGTGTGAAATGGCCACACATTCAGGCGCCTTTCCTTCAGCCTCTTTCGGACCAGTACGCCTGATCTTTTTAAAACCATTTGCGTTTTGTTCCACATTTTCTCCTACTCTTTCCAGGGTCTTTTCATGTGATACCTTTCAGAGCAGTTGATAGTGTTAGTGGGCACCATCTAGTTCTTCTGGTCTCAGGGTCTTGGAGATTTACACGTTCCAATTAATCCATTAAACTAATTGATTCCAAGCATCTTCAGTTTACATCACTCTTCTTACCTCAACACATAGACCAAGAGAGCTATAGAACATGTAGGACCCCGTAGAATCTTGTAAATCAGTCAGGACACAGAACAAGAGAACAAGTCACCACCTCAAACCTCCCTCCTGCTACCCACCGAGACTCAAAACGTGGCACCCGATGGTCTGTCTCCAGCCCTCACGTTAGTCTTTCTGAGAGTGTCTTGTAGATGGACCCTCACTATACAACTATCTCTGTGTAACAAATGATCACATCTTTGATCTCAAAGTTCCCATGGGTCAGAAGTGCAGCCATAGTTTATCTGGGCCCTTTAATCAGGGCCTCATAGGCCGAATCAAGAGATCAACTAGGTCTGGGGTCTCTTTGAGTCTCTGAGTCCTCATCCAAGCTCATAGGATAGTCGTCAGAGCCATTTCCTTGCCACTGTAGGTTCTAGATGCTTCTTCTTCTTCGCGTCAGCAGTGGAGAGAGTCTGATCTCAAGGTATGCCTAAGCCCTGTTTTAAGGGGCTTACCCTGGAGAAACTTCTTCTGACTAATTAAAGAAAATTTGATTAGAGATGATCTTAGTTACTGTTATAACAGAAACAGCCCAAGTAAATGTTTTCATGAACAGAAGTGTATTTTCTGAGAGTTTGTTGTTGTTGTTCAGTGATGTCGGGTCAGTCCCAGCTCATAGCGACTCTGTTTCTGAGGAGTGTTTGGTGGGTTTGAAGTACCCACCTGGTGGTTAGCAGCCTAACGCTTCTCCTACAGCACCAGGGCTTAGGAGGCTGGAATTCAAGGCTCCAGGGAAGGGTCCCTCTGTCTACTCTGGAAGAAAATTCTTGTCTTGTCTTCTCTTGTTTACTTTTCAGCATTCCTTGGAGAGTTCCACACGGCATCCGTCTTTCTCCTGTTTGTGTTTGCTTCTGTGTGCCAAATCTAGTCTTTTTCTACGTCAAAAGTGAGTAGGTTTTAGACACAGCATACCCAATGGCCTCATCGACACCTTGAAGAAAACGCTATTCCTAAATGAGGTCACGTCCACAGGGTACAATTTCCATACGTATTGTTGTGGGGGTTTTTTTCCATACATATTTTTTGTGACAGCTGTAGTCACCTTTCACACAGATGTGATGTTATCACAGCAGTGCCTTCTGGTCCTTCACAGGCCCTGCCCACATTTAGATTTTGGAGCATCATCTTAGGCTGTGGCCACACACACACACACACACACACACACACACTTTGTGGGACCTTTGGAGACTGGTTGCCCCCACTCAGCAAAATGCCTCTGAGGTTGGTCTGTGTTTCCCTGTCTGTCAACAGTTAGCGCCACTTACCAGTCGGAGGGTGCCTGAGTTGTGACCAGATCTTGCTGATTATGACTAGAGCTGGCGTGGAGATTCTTGTACAGATGTTGGTACCAACATAGTCTCTTCAGCTGCTGAATAAGTACCCAGGAGTGGCATTGCCAGCAAAGGGCACCATGCTGTTAAGATGGAGGGTCAATGAAACAGAGCAAGACCCCCACCGAGATGGAGGGTACAGTGGCGGCAGTAGTGGGCTCAATGGGGGGCCCAGGACCAGACAGGGTTTCGTTAGGTTGTTATAAGGTTGGAACTGACTCGATGGCACCGAACAACAACAAAATGGTAAGCTTATTAGAAACAGCCAACTTTTCCAAAGTAGTTGTACCCTTTTATATTCCCACCAGTGACGTAAGAGAGGTCCAGCTTCCCCACAGGCTCACCTGAAGGTGGACATTCAGTAAGACAACATTTTTAATTGCTGCAATTCTAGTAGATGTGTAGTGAAATCTCATTGTGAATTGGCCTGACCTTGTGATTACAGAGAGGAGCCATGGTGGCTCTGTGGAATAAACATTGGACTACTACTACAAGTTAGGCAGTTCAAACCCACCAGCCACCCACAAGGAGAAAAATGAGACTTTATGCTCTGATCAAGACTTACCGCCTCGGAAACCCTTTACAAGTTTGCTATGAGGCTAAGAGTCTGAACTGACTCGATGGCAATGGGTTTGGGGTTCGAGTGACTACAGATGTGAAGCATGTTTTCATGTGCTTACATGCTTTCTGGGAGAACCATGAGGCTTCCTGCTCCCCAAAGATTCCCAGCCTCAGAAACCCTGTACAGAGTTGCTGTGTGTCGTAACTGACTTGATGGCACTTAACAACATGTCATCTTTGATGAGGTATCTGTTTTAGTCTTGAGCGAAAATATTTTAAAAAAGACAAAAACTTTTAATTTAAAAATAATTACAGAGTTATAATTAATTGCAAAAACAGTACAGAGGAATACCCATCACCTAGACCCCTACAGTGGTCACACCATACAGAACAAAGCATCACAACCCGGATATTAATGACCGTACAATGTATGTCTAGAATTTACATCATACTACACCCGTGCAGATTCACAATGTATGTCTAGAGTTCCACATCATACTACATATGTGCAGATTCACAATGTATGCCTGGAGTTCCATGTATAAATTCATGCAACCATCACTGCAATCCAAAGACAGAGCTGGTCTATTCCTACGAAGTTATCCCATCTGCACGCCCCCCCCCCCCACCTTATGTGAGGTAAAAAATTATCCACACTCTGGCTATAGAGCTTCTTTTAATCAACTTTTAGAGAAGATGAATACTCATTTTTCAACATAATCTCCTTACTTTTCAATACACTTTGTCAATCTGTCAACAAGTTGTCGTATTCCCTTATTAAAAAGTGTTTTAGATTGAGCTGTGAGCCACAAATGCACTGCTGTCTTCTCTTCTTCATCAGAGGTGAATCTTTGTTCTCAAAGGGCTGCTTTCAGGGGACCAAACAGGTGGAAGGCCGATGGAGCAAAATCAGGACTATAGGGAGAATGCTTTAACACCTCAAAGCAAAGGTTTTTGCAGAATGTCTACAGTGTGGGCAGAGGTGTGCACTGTCATGCAAGATCACAACACCCTTAGAGAGCAATCCTCTGTATTTAATCCGAAGTTTAGGCTTCAGCTCTTGAGTGAGCATCTCACTGTAACGAACACTGTTGATTGTTGAACCTTCTTCCTGCTAGTGTTCCAGTGCTGGCCCCTGAGAATCCCAGCAAACTGTAAACATCAATTTCCCAGTTTTTTTTTTGGTCAGTGATTGAGGATGTTCCCATTCCATACTCTGCAGTTTACTCTTAAGCTCATATGCATGTTCAGATTGATCATATGCATGTTCAGATTGATCATATGCATGTTCAGATTGATCATATGCATGTTCAGATTGAGCATATGCATGTTCTGATTGATCATATGCATATTCTGATTGATCATATGCATGTTCTGATTGAGCATATGCATGTTCTGATTGATCATATGCATGTTCTGATTGATC